AGGCAGAGGAGGTGCCAGCTCAGGATCAGTACCTTCCGTGGCTTGGTCTAGTGTGACCCACTAATCTGGCTGTCACTGGCTGGCTATTCTTCCCCTTCTACTTCCTGCTTAGCCAGCTTGCCCTTCTCCTGCTCCCGGCCTCCCTCCCTTGAGCCTGGAGCCCTCACTAGCCCTCAGTAGCTGGTGCCCTCTCCCTAGCACTTGGCTTCACTTAGACCCTGCTCTGCAGCTTCTAGACTCTTCCCAGGATCCCTCCTGGCAGCTTTGGCCAGCTTAGCTTGCATTATGATCCAGTTTCCCTGAAACAGTCTGAGATTCTCCTCCTCCATACCCAAACAGCTTCTGTTGTGTTTGCCTTTCTCCCCATCCCTGAATCACTAGGTGGCCCAGGTCCCATTCGCTGCCTTCGCAGGGCAGCATTCGATGTCCCTGGAGTACAGTGGGTATACACGCAACCCCAGCCCGCCAGCGTCAGGAGAACACACATAGCCCAGGTACCCAGCTAGAAGGGGGAGTGCGACGGTGCAGTTGAACTTGGCCACTCGTCACTCTGCCTCTGAGGCTGTGGCCCTGGACTCTGGTTAAGAGGCAGGGGCTCCGCACAGGCCACCCACATGGAGCATGTCCCCTGATGCCACTACGGGAGATAGAATCAGTAGCAATGGCCTCTTCACAGACCACCTCATAGTTCCCAAGGGAGGAAACATTTAGGAGGGTGGCCCTCTGTTCCTATTTCATTTATACCTGAGTTACTGGATACTGTTTGGAGAGGAGCTGAATGCTTCCCAACCCATTATGGAAAATAGGAAGATGGTGTGGCCCTCTCACTACAAACTAGGGCTGGTCTGGCTGGGCTCCCGAGTGACTGCCAAGCACACAACATAACACAAGGCTGAAGTTCAGTGATCTTAATATCAAACTTCACTTTGGAGACACCTCTAGACTTTTGCCCAACTTAGAATTAACATACTCATATAGCCAGTGTTCTCGTTTCCTTTCTAAGTTTATGTTAGGAAACCAGTTTTTCTTGGCATCTTCATCAGAAAGGTGATTGCTCAAGGCTAAAGGTTCTTATCTATGATTTATATAATTTGGTTTTCTAATGGCCAAGGTGGGCGTTCAGGAAAGCTGCTTTTGTTTTCCAGGCTAAGTTGTTGTGGCCCTGCTCAAGGATGACGGTTTTGCATGCCTTCTCCACATGGCATCTGGGCACGGGGCCCTCCTGGCATAGGCCCAGCCCCAGAGGCTCGAATCTGGCTGTTTCAAAACCTCACCCCAGACTGTGGGAGCGGACTTCCAGGGGCTGAGCAGGCCCCTCTGCCTTTCAGGAGGCAACGTCGGTCCTGCCCCCAGCTTAGCTAAAAGAAAGCCCGAGCTCTGTTCTCCGAGGCCCACCGAGTCACTGCTCTCCAGGGCTCGTTGGAGAGGGAAACCTCCACCAGGCCTGTCCGATGCATAACAGAAGGCTTAGCTGAAACAACTGCCTACGAAACTTTCCAGGAGGGAGGATAGAGCCCATCCATCCTCTAGGGACCCTAGAACTATCACTATGTCTAAAAAGGGAAAGCATCAAAGAGCTAAATCCCTGGACCACATCTTATCAGCCCCAATAGAGTTCCTTTACACATCACGATCTGGATTTACACCATCAGCCTAGATTGAGGGCTGTTTTAAGAAATGGCAACTGGACAGTCTTTTGGCAGCATAAATAAAAAAGGCCCACCCTTTGTTCCAGCAATTCTGTTTCCAGGAAAGTGTCCTAAGGAAATAGGTAGTGATTTACACAAAGGTTTTTGGATAACAAAATTAATTACAGTTTCTTTTTTTTTTAAGATGTCCAGTACAGGGATCTTAACCCTTGACTTGGTATTGTCAGCACCAGGGTCTCCCAAGTGAGCCAACCGGCCATCCCTATATAGGGATCTGAACCCATGGCCTTGGTGTTCAGATCAACCCTTGTTGAGATCCCCATACCTGTCATCTTTAAAAAAAACAAAAAAACAAATAACATTCTTCTGTCATAACCATCTCAGGCCATGTCCATTTGTTTATGAAATTCCCAGTTATAGATCTAAGATTATATATGAGGTATATTTTCAAGTAATTTTTTTGTCATTGGTTTTTAGACCTTCTTATGCTATTTGATTTTTTTACAACAAGCATGCCTTAAGAAAAACATTAAATCTATTTTAAAAAAAAAAAAAAAAAAAAACAGCCTTGGGAAACTCAGCCTGAGCTTGCTCTAGAGACCTCTTTAAGGACTTGCTCCCCGCCACCAGTCTTGGTCTCTGGATTAAGCTGCCTAAATCTTTTTTTTGTAAACAGCTTTATTGAGATATAATGCATACACCATGCAGTTTATCCATTTTTTTTTTTTTTTTAAAGATGACCGGTAAGGGGATCTGAACCCGTGGCCTTGGTGTTATCAGAGTGCCTAAATCTTTTTTTTGTAAACAGCTTTATTGAGATATAATGCATACACCATGCAGTTTACCCATTTTTTTTTTTTTTTAAAGATGACTGGTAAGGGGATCTGAACCCGTGGCCTTGGTGTTATCAGCACCATGCTCTCCCAAGTGAGCCACGGGCCAGCCCCTCAGTTTACCCGTTTAAAGTGTAAAATTTACCAAGTCAAGGGTTCAGATCCCCTTACTGGCCAACCACCAAAAAAATAAATAAAAATAAAGTGTACAATTTAATGGTTTTTAGTACATACCCAGGGTTGTTCAACCATCACCACAGTCAATTTTAGAATATTTTTATCAGCCTGCCTAACACTTTTTAGAAACAAAGGGAATCATAAATATATCTAACGTTATGTATGTGTGGTGGGGGGATTGTATTCACTCCAAATGTCTAGATACCATTACACAACTCAGACTCACAGGGAGAGTTTTTAGGGTTGTCAGTGCCTGTCACTTCCTTCTACCCCCCTCCCTTGCCTCTCCATCCCCCCCTAAAAACAGGACAGATTCTCTCCCAGCCTCTCTGGTGGGTGTTCATTTACCTTTGGCTGGAGGAGGAGAGGGGAAGTTTCAGTCCTACAGGGTTCAAGACACCAGGGCAGCTGGGGCAACGAGATGCGGTAGCTGCCCGGGGAAAGGTTTGGGAGATGGGCATGTGTCACTAGGATCAAATGGTACCCAACCAAGGTGAGGACACCTGACTTCTCCCAGCATGGCCATAAAACTGCCAGTGACCTTGGGCAAGTCACTCTTCACCCTCCGGCCCATCATCATTCATCAAATGAAGAAGCCAAAGAACCCGAAAGCTGCCCATTTGCCTGAGCCTCCCACTGCCCCAGGAAGAGTGAGCCTCTCCCTTACCTGTTGTCCCAGGGCACTTTGCCCCTGTATGTGCTGAAGCTCTTATCATATTCCACTCATTCTTTCAAAAAAGATTTATTATGCACCTACTCTGTGCCAGGTACTGTCATAGGCCCTGAGGACAAACAGATAAAAAGCCCTGCCCCATTAGCTCACAATGAGTTGGGTGAGAGGAACAAGATAAATGCATAACTTGCTTGGTAAGGGAGATAACTGGTGAGTGCTAAGAAGAGTTAATGGCGGGGTGGGGGGAGTGCACGGCAGGGCAGGATGCAACTCTGAATCAAGTGGTTGAGGAAAGACCCCCTGGAGAAGGTGACATTTAAGCATAGACTGGAAGAGGACAGAGAATGAGCCCTGGGAGTGTCTGGGGAAAGGACATTCCAGGTAGACGTGAAGTGAGGGTCAGTGCAAAGGCTTAGCTCCTGGCTTATATCTCCTCCCAGGCCTGGGGGCTCCCTGAGGACAGCCCCTGTGTTGCCTTGGGGTCCCCGGGGACCCTCCCAGAGTGAATGCTCTGAACATTAACGAGGGTCCTCTGCCTTCCTTCTCACACTGTTTCTCCCACCTTCCGCCCCCTCCCCCCAGACTTGCACCTAGCGGCGGAGCTGGGGAAGACTCTGCTGGAGAGGAACAAGGAGCTGGAGGAGTCTCTGCAGCAGATGTACTCCACCAATGAGGAACAAGTGCAGGAGATCGAGGTAAGGGCCACGCAGGCCCTGCACATGCTTCCCCCCCACCCATCAAGAGCCCTTTGGCCTTTGTGTGTCTTTGTGCAACTTTAAAAAAGGCGCCCTCTTAGCAGATACAGCCTTGGCACACGGCCTTGTGCAGTTCACACACAACTATCCCAGGCAGCCCTACTGCGTGCCATCTTTACTCCCCACTCAGCTGCAGATGAATGCCTCAAAGCGAACCTGTCCCTAGAAGTAGGAGGAAGATGGCTGGCCAGATAGCTCAGTTGGCTGGAGTGCATTGTTATAACACCAAGGTCAAGGGTTTGGATCCCTGTACCAGCTGCTCAAAACGAAAAAATATGGAGCAGGGAGAGACAGAGACATTTGTCCCTTCCCCATTCTAAAAGGCTTCTCAATTTCCCCCGACACACACGCAGTACCTGACCAAGCAGCTGGACACACTGCGGCATGTGAACGAGCAGCATGCCAAAGTGTACGAGCAGCTGGACCTGACGGCCCGAGACCTGGAGCTGACCAACCAGAGGCTGGTGCTGGAGAGTAAGGCTGCCCAGCAGAAGATCCATGGGTGAGGACCTGGCCGAGTGCTGCGAGTGGGGTGTTAGGGAGAGGCCAAGGGCTGGGTGTGCTTGTGGGCATGTGGACTAGCAGGTGTGAGTTGTGCCCTTCTCCCAGAAGCCCGGGCCTAGGAACCTGGGATGGTAGTGAGTTCACCCTTGTCAGTTATGTGTGGCTTAACGTTCAGGCCACGACCCTTCTTTAAGCACCAGGCTCTGTTTTAGGCACTGGGGGTACAATCATAGGGATCCAAAGACACTGTCCTGTCCTCTGGGAATGCACAGCCTAGGAGGGAAAGCAGGCATGCAAATATTTTATTGCAGGGCAGGATGACAAGTGACAGAAGAGTGTAAGAGGAACTGAGCTGGCACAGATGAGGAGTGATCTGCTTGGCCTGGGAGATGTGGGAGAAGGGGGGGGTCCTTGGGCATGCAGTGAGTTCCCCATCTGACCTCAGCACCAGGCAGCACAGGTCAAGGTCGCCTGTCTGTCCCCTATTCCACACCCTTCCATCTGCAGGGAGCGAGGGCTGCGGTGAGGAGGGCTGGCCTTCTCCCCTTGAAACCCCATCCACTCGTGTCCCCGTCCCACCCCCAGGCTGACAGAGATCATTGAGCGCCTGCAAGCCCAGGTGGAGGAGCTGCAGGCCCAGGTGGAGCAGCTGCGGGGCCTAGAGCAGCTGCGAGTGCGCCGGGAGAAGCGGGAACGCAGGCGAACCATCCACACCTTCCCCTGCCTCAAGGAGCTGTGCACCAGCCCCCGGTAGGTGTGCACCTCTCGGTGTCTCTGAGGCCCCAGGACTGCCAGCCAGGGGAGGAAGGAGAGGGTGGGCAGCGGGCAGCAGGGGGGAAGGGGAGTTGGTGCCTCATCCAGGCGGTCGGAGAGACTGGTCCTATTGCTGACAGTCACAGCAGCTGGCGCCTACGGAGCACGGGCTGCATGCCTCCGCTCTGCTGACTTACTTCTCATCACAGCACTGAGAGGTGTGTTTCATTGTGCCCACTATTCAGATGGGAAAACTGAAGCTCAGAGTTTACGTGTCTTATCCGAGGTCACCTGTTAAGTAAGAGGCACAGCCAGGATTCTAACCCAGGAGGGGTTAACCACTATACTTTTCAGTCACCATTAAATCTGAGACAGATAGGGCCGGCCCATGGCTCACTCGGGAGAGTGTGGTGCTGATAACACCAAGGCCTCGGGTTCGGATCCTATATAGGGATGGCTGGTTCGCTCACTGGCTGAGCGTGGTGCTGACAACACCAACTCAAGGGTTAAGATCCCCTTACCGGTCATCTTTTAAAAAAATAAAAAATCTGAGACAGATGACTACTTAACAATGTAAGGATATGGATCGTGTATTTTAGCAGGTGTTTCAATAAAGGTCCTGGCAGGAGAAAGTGCCTCATAAAGCATGATCTGAGACAGATGACTACTTAACAATGTAAGGATATGGATCATGTATTTTAGCAGGTGTTTCAATAAAGGTCCTGGCAGGAGAAAGTGCCTCATAAAGCATGATGGAGGAGAGGTTAATAATGAAGGGAAGGGAAACCACAGGGACTCTAGTGCAACAGAGAGGAGCTGTCACCATCCCTAGTCCTCAAGGGGCAAGGGAGGTTACTGGACCTATAAGGGATGGAGAGGACTCCCTGGCTGGCACTGACCAGGGAAAGAGCGCAGGAAGACGTGCCCCACAGTCTCCCTCTGCTCCCACCTCGGACCTCTTGCCAGTGTCTCCCACTGGCTGAGCTCAGGAGGGAGCAAGGAAGCCTGGCCATGGCAGTCCATGGTGATCAGCCTCCATGAGGTCAGAGAGAGGCGAGAGAGACCAGGGGCAAATCACTATCCCGCCCAGTGGACAAGAGAGATAGAAGTGGCCAAGGCTGGGCCTTGGGCCTTGGCCCTGACCTCTGCCCTCTGCCCACCTGCCCTGCACCCCCTCCCCCCCAGGTGTGAGGATACCTTCCGCCTGCACAGCTCCTCCCTGGAGCTGGGCCCACGGCCCCTGGAGCAGGAGAACGAGCGGCTGCAGAGCTTGGTGGGGGTGCTGCGATCCCAGGTGAGCCAGGAGCGGCAGCGCAAGGAGCGGGCGGAGCGCGAGTACACGGCGGTGCTGCAGGAGTACGCGGAGCTGGAGCGGCAGCTGAGCGCCATGCAGGGCTGTCGCCTGCGCGTGCAGGAGCTGGAGGCCGAGCTGCTGGAGCTGCAGCAGATGAAGCAGGCCAAGACCTACCTGCTGGGCCGGGAGGACCACCTGGCCGAGGCCCTGCTCGCGCCCCTCACCCAGGCCCCAGAGGCTGACGACCCCCAGCCAGGCAGCGGGGATGACTCGGGCACCCAGGATGGCATCTCTTCGCCGGCAGCCTCGCCCGACCACACGGTCCGTAAGAGCTGCAGTGACACGGCACTCAGTGCCATCGTGGCCAAAGACCCAGCCAGCCGGCACGCAGGCAACCTCACGCTGCATGCCAACAGCGTGCGCAAGCGGGGCATGTCCATCCTGCGGGAGGTGGACGAGCAGTACCACGCGCTGCTCGAGAAATACGAGGAGCTGCTGAGCAAGTGCCGGCAGCACGGGGCCGGGGTGCGGCATGCCGGCGTGCAGACGTCGCGGCCCATCTCCCGGGACAGCTCGTGGAGGGACCTGCGGGGGGGCGACGAGGGCCAGGGGGAGGCCAAGGCAGGGGAGAAGAGCCTGAGCCAGCACGTGGACGCTGTGGACAAGCGGCTGGAGCAGAGCCAGCCCGAATACAAGGCGCTCTTCAAGGAGATTTTCTCCAGGATCCAGAAGACCAAGGCCGACATCAATGCCACCAAAGTTAAGACGCACAGCAGCAAGTGACTCTTTCCTGGCCTGCAGCCTCCCCCAGAACCCAGGCCTTGAGGTCCCTCAGCCTCCGGTGAACGAGAGAGCCCTTTAGCAGCAATATATCACAGCAAGTGGCTCCTCCAGAGGTGTGAGGGATGGGGTTCCTCTGATCTGGGGACGCAGCATGTTCCCTGCTGATGTGGGAGGTGGCCAAACTGTCCTGCCTCCCAGGAGCCCTCGGCCACCCTGCCTGAGCCCAAAGGCACAGCTCAGAATTTCAAAGCCAAACGTCCCCACTCCTCTGGATTCCCCAGCTCCCCCAGCCTCCCGCTTCCTGACCCTGGGGTTCACCTTCGGATCTGTGCCAGGCTTCTGAAAGCCATTCTGGATCAATTGGCTTTTTCTTTTTTCCCTTCAGTTTGGTTTTTCTGAGAGATTTGCAATGCAAGGTCTCCTTGACCCCTTGTCACAACTGGAAACACTTGAAGGGGGACCCCAGAGCCAGCTGTTACGGGTTCCAGGGGTCTCCTGGACCACCCACTGCTTCTCCCCAGCTGTGATGCACTAACATTCCCTTAGCACCAGCTGTCTCACCCCCGGGTCCTGACCAGGTCACAGACAGCCCCTGCCATACAGAGCAGGAGGCCTCAGCCAGGCCGAGTGCCCCTGCTCCAGCCTTGCCAAGAATGGGCTTCCCTGGGCTTCTCCCCTGAAACCCTTGGCCCACCACAGAACTGTGGCCAATCAGAGGGAAGAGGGGGCTCCTCGGCAGCCATACATGAGCAGTATATATACCCTGTTTCCTTCAAAGCCAGCCTCCTCGGGTTGCCACCCTGGAAATGCCTCTGGGTACTCGCCTTCCAGGGCTGGGCAGCGGGGAGCTCCCGTCTTTGCACACCGCCTCTGACTCCAAGTTCGGCTTCTGCCTCCCCTCTCTGCACCTGCCCCCTTCTCAGGGACCATGATGTCTCATGCCACACTCCCCACAGGCTAACCATGGCACAGGTTGCATCTGTAGCCCCCAGAATGTCCTGGGCATGTGCCACCAGCCACTGATCCCCAGTGTCCACCCCTGTCCCCGCTTCACTGGGGACCCAAGATTCTCATCCCACATAGAACAGTATTCAGTTGGGACAGGGATAAGGAACGTGTTCCCTCCCTCTCATAAAATGCCTGCTCTTAACTTCCCACCTTCGTGGGGGGCTTTTGAAGACCCAGCTGGATCAGGGGTTCAATCTTTTGGTTTAAGACTTCAAGAGAGTCAAGCTTCAGCTAAGAGATGCCCAGGTCCCCAGCTTGCCCTGAGCAGTCCTTCAGGGCTGCTGGTTCCATCTGCTGCCCTTCCTGATTCCCATACAGTCCAGTGGAAGGCGGTGGCCCTAGCCCCTGTGCTGGGAGCCCAGTGGGAACCTTCTTGCCTTATTTATTTCTCATGGGTAAAGGGGTTTTCATAACAAGCATGCCTGACCTCCCTGGAGACACCCCTTGCTCTCCGGGTGGCACTGTGATGCGAGCTGGCGGCCGGGTCCTTCTGTTCATGCAACTTGGAACTTTTGTCCCTTGGGCTGGGCAGCTCCTGGCTCTCCATGTGTCTCTCCAGCCTGTCCATTCCCCAGCTCTTTAGCGGCCGACCAGCATCACCTTTGAAGTATACATGAGAGAAATATATTTACAAATGCTTTATTCTCTTTAATAAAAAATGCACCAGTATTCTAAAAGCAGAAATGGCCCCGGAGCCACGGTCCCATCTCTGCATCTCCCACACCGGCCTCCCATCGTGCACAACCACAAGAGAGGGTGGCCTCTGTGCTCCACTCTCTGGGGCCCTCCAAGCCCCTCTGAGGCCACAGAGACCTGGGTTCTCAGCCTCACCCCCGCACCTGCCCATGGTTGGTATTCACTGGTGCCAGCTGTGCCAGTCATGCTGGGGGTACATGGTGAGCAAGACAGAGTCCCCGCCCTGGAGTTTACACTTGTGGGGGGATGGCCACCCAAAATAAACAAAAGATAGAACAATGAAAAAATTGGGGCAGGAGGGTGGTGCTCAATGGAGATGAACCAGATTTTTTTTTAAACCTTACATAATCATATCTAGATATATACATACAGCACACAAGATATACAGTATATCTGTAGCAGGGGGATGGCCACCCAAAATAAACAAAAGATAGAACAATGAAAAAATTGGGGCAGGAGGGTGGTGCTCAATGGAGATGAACCAGATTTTTTTTTTAAATCTTACATAATCATATCTAGATATATACATACAGCACACAAGATATACAGTATATCTGTAGCATTAACACAGGGAATGGGGCCTGGCCAGTTGTTCCCTCAGCACTGTGTGGTCAAGGGTTCAGCTCCCTGCACCAACCAGCCACCAAAAAAAAACAACTCATGGGGGTGCAATTACAAAAAAAGAAAGGGGTAATGATAATGAAGAAATGTGCTGAAAAACACTGAAGGAGGGTGGTCAGGGGCACCCTCTGAAAGATGTGACAGTTTAGCTGACCCGGAGGCTGGGGAGGAACAGCAAGAAGAGCAGCGCAGGCCCAGGGAGCAGCTGGGTGGTGAGGAAGGGGGGGGCCTTCCCCCCCCAGGGGGAGAGGGAGGGCTTCCTGGGTGCCATGAGAAGTGATTGCAGGGCTTTAATAGCACTGTGGTTTTAAAAGCTTTCCCAGGTGCTACGTGGAGGTTGAGTTGTAAAGAGGGAGAGTGATGGAGCCCAGGGCAGTGGCTGGTGCCAGGAGGGACCATGGAGGATGGGGAAGCAGACCAGCCCTAGGGAAGTGCCCACTGCTGACACAGGATAGTCACAGCAATGGCAAGAGGGCCACCTCCTGGTGTTTTTCAAACCTATAAATCCCACACCTCTCTTCCCATCTCTTTCCCGGGGATCTGTCTCCTCCCCACGTTATGAAAAGATGGTACATAGAAGATGGGTCTCCTAGAGCGGCTTGCTGTCACCAAGATTTCACCCAGCTTCACTCTTGTACTGTAGGTGTGGTCGATCTGGTGGAATTTCTGTTTTCCTCAGTACAAAATAATGAGTGGGCTTTTTCAAACCTCCCATGCTTCAGCCCACTTTTTTCAAATCTGGTAATGTCTGCCCAGAACTTGAGAACTGCTGTCCAAGATTGGATATCAAAGGCCCAGAAACACACCTGCAGGTGTGGGTCAAAGGGACACCTTCAGGAGATCTGCCTTCACCTCCCTCTGCAAATCCCACCCACCCTCCTTGCAGTGGCGCCCCATGCTGGGTAGACCGCTCCCTGCCGTGCTGATTTTGCAGATCCCTCCTCCCACCCATGCACAGGTGACTTCAGAAATCAAAGAAGAGGGCCGGCCCGTGGCTCACTTGGGAGAGTGTGGTGCTGATAACACCAAGGCCACAGGTTCGGATCCCTATGTAGGGATGGCCGGTTAGCTCACTTGGGAGATCGTGCAAGGGTTAAGATGCCATTACTGGTCATCTTTTTTTTTTTTTTTTCCTTTTTGTCTTTTTTCGTGACCGGCAACGGATCGCAACCCTCAGTGTCACGCCCGTACCGGACCGGGACCAGCAATGGGATCGCAACCCTCGGTGTTGCTCCCGCATCTCGCTCAGCCAGTGAGCGGCCGGTCTGTATGTGGGATCCGAACCCTCGGCGGGAGTGCTGCCGCGCTTCCCAAGCAGCGCACTGTAGCAGTGCGCCACCGGGCCGGCCCATTTACTGGTCATCTTAAAAAAAAATAAAATAAAAAGAAGTCGAAGAAGAAAATGCACCTGAATCTTGGGGGGTCAGTTTCTTGCCACCATCTCCACTCTCCCATTTCCAGACAGAAAAGGCAGCTCTGCGGACCCCAGTCCCACCAGCCCACACCACCTTTGTCTGTGGAAGAGCTTCCAGGCTTCCTTGGAAGATGGAGTAGGAGACCAGCTGGGGCTGTGGAAGTTTCCCCCAGGTTCCTGAAGGAGCTGGGAGCAACCTCTCTCAGTCCCTGGAGGGGAGGAAGGTCTGGTGTGGGAGCCCAGAGCTGGACCCGCAAATGGTGGCCTCTATGCTTGTTACCTCAGCTCAACAGCATGGGGGTTTTATGTGTGCAGCACGCAAGTTGGGCTGTCAGATTTCCTGTCCGGATGTCACCTGTCTCCAACAGGATGGAGAGCACATGGTGGTTAACACATGGAGCAGTCACACCTGAGAAACAAAGGAAGCTATCTGTGGCCTGTATCCAGCCACCCTGCTCTGCCTCAGCTTTCACACTGCCCCTCTCTGGTACCCTTGCCCCTGTGGTGAGGGGAAGCAGCCCTCCCTGCAAACGCTGGGCCAAAAGAGCAGGGGGTGGCTCCGTGTTCCAAGGACCTGGCAGATAAGAGTCGGTAGTGAAGGAAGTAGCTCCCAGGACAAAGGGGCAGCTTTGCCCACCCACTCCTGCCGGGAAGCATGCTCTGTGCTGCCCATTCCCTCAGGGAAGAAGGGAAGGGTCTGGAATAGAGCTGGTCAGACTGGATTCCCCACCCCACTGCTGGAGAGAAAACAAAGGTAACAGTCATCAGGTCTCTGAAAGAAAAAGATCCTTCAAGAAACCTATATGCACTTAGTGTTCCTTAGTAGCAGCTAATTTTTGTTGCTTAACCAGTGCTTTACATGTGCTCGATACCCTCAGGAACTTTATGAGGCAGCTATAAAATCTACTTTACTGATGAGGTTATAGAGGTTTAGAATTAGTTAGTAATTCAAGGTCACATAGAAATATTCCAACTCAGGCCTGATCAATTCCACCATGGTTCACTGCGTGTTCCCTACCTCCACATAACGCTGAGTTTTAAGAGCCTGTCTGACCCAAGGCACTCCAGAGAAGATGAAACGGAAATCCTATGGATCCCCTGCATGAGAATGGTACCCCAGGCTCACAGTCCAGAGAGAAGGGCTGGTATCACAAGCTGCTTGGCTGCCAGGAATGGCTTGATGATTCCTTATTTTTTTCTTCCCTTCTTTCCTCTGTCCCTAATGAATATCCCCTTCCTGAAGCACCATCTCAGCTTAAGGAGGACCAAGGATGGGAAGAAGGCTACTTTTTAGGGGAACAGGTAGCCCCTCTCTGGCCTGTTTCTCCCAAAAGGGCCCCCAATCTGGACGGTTCACCACAGCAGCAGGTGAGAGGAGCTCGCCAGCTGCTCTTCTCTCCACCCCAGGGCAGCTTGTCTCATTCTCGCCTCTCTCTCCCTCCTCTCCCAGAATCCAGGCCACCAGATGGCCTGAGCAGGCTGTGTTTATTTGGGGCCATGGAAACCTGCAGCTTGCTTTTCCTATTGCTCTGCGTCAGGCACAGGGCTGGAGCCCAGCCTCATGGCAATGATGCCATGGAATGGTTCTGACTTCATTATTCAGAATCCCTTAGCCCTCAACCTGAGTGCCTGGCCTTGCTCCTCTGAGCAGCTTATTCCAGTCACCATGGAGATGCCTCTATTCCCTCTGAGGTCTTGGGACTGAGCCAGTCAAGGAGGGACCCAGGAGACTCTCCTTCCAGCCTAGAGCCTGAAAGGAGTGTGTCAGTTGCCATCCCCTTCCTAGTTTGTTTACAAAGCCATGGCCGGAAAGTGATTTATTCCCCCACAGAGACTTTGCCATGTCAATGATGCTGAGATGGTAAAGGCTTGATTTTATGACAATCTCCTGTTTCAATCAGCCAGCATCCCGGGGGATATATTTTTCTAGGTAATTATGCTTTTTCCTAAAAATAGAACTCTTCATTAAGAAACAACCACTAGTATTACTGCTAATTATCAACATTTATTGAGCTCTGTTTTCATTTGCCACACTGCCTCTCAACAAAGTAATTTCACTAAGGTTTAGCTGTTTTCATACACTGCTTGCTCTGCTTTGAACCTTTTGCAGAATTAGAACTTTTCAGTTCTGGAGTTCATGCCTTGCAGCTCAATAAGGGGCTCTGCTTAGCCTGTAAGTTCTCTGAATTCTTTACCTACCTCTCCAGTCTCCCCTGACTTCCTGGCTAGAGGAAACCACCATCATGCTCCATAAAGCCAGGGGGTGGGGCTCCAGTTTTGGAAACATTTCTTTCTGTGACCTGCCTCCCTCTGCTCCCATCTAGCATTTGTTCTGCAGCGTTGGGTATAAGCCATCACTTGCACACACGCAGGGGACAGGGAATTTGCTTACAGGCTGCCTGGTGAAAAGAGCCCGAGTTCCTAATACTTAGCTCTACCAGAACCCAACTTTCAAAAACACATGCCCACAGAATTCATTTTATCGATATATATGGGGTGCCCACAATGTGCCATGCTCTGGGTGCTCTGGGGTGCTCGGGCTACAGCGGTGAGCCAGAGCCCTGCTAGAGCTTACATTCTGGCTAGAAGACAGGCAATTAAATTACACAGATAAGACTGAGTGGTCAGGGGCCGGCCGGCGGCTCACTCAGGAGTTCAGTGCTGATAACACCAAGGCCACGGGTTCGGATCCCTATATAGGGATGGCCGGTTCGCTCACTCGGGAGAACGTGGTGCTGACAACACCAAGTCAAGGGTTAAGACCCCCTTACTGGTCATCTTCTTAAAATAAAAATAAATAAATAAATAAGGATTGAGTGGTTACAAAGGGATTTTTAAAAAGAGGCCGGCTGGTTAGGTCAGTTTGGTTAGAGCGTGGTGCTGATAATAACAAGGACCAGGGTTCAATCCCTGCACTGGCCAGCCGCCAAAAGTGATGAAATAAATAGAATAAAATAAAACATATAAAAAAGAAGAGCAGGGTGAAGGGGACGGGGAGCGCGGGGCGGGATGAACCAGGCTTCACTGATGTTCGATTTGGGCGGCGGGCGGTGCAGGCGGACGGAGCGGCCTCTGAAAGGGAGAGAAGTGGGGTTTCTGGGGGACACGCGATCCGGGGGTTCTTTCACTAGGAGCCTTCTTCGGGAGCTCGCTGTCTGGCCACGGCCTTCCCCACGGTGACCAGACCTCCCGGAGGCGACCGACCGGGGAGCACGGCGGGGGCCCGCTTGGCCGCCTCCGCTCGGCCGGCCCCAGATGCGGCGCGGAACCGAAGTCCCGAGGGCGGCGCGAGCTCGGGACCGCAGGGAGGGAGCGCCCGCCGGAAGTGGCCCCGAGACCCGGACATGGCGGCTGCCTGGTGCCTGCGCTGGGGCCTGAGCCGAGCCGGAGCCCGGCTGCTCTCGCCTTCCGCGCGCTGCCCTCGCCGGGCTCTGCACAAGCAGGTGGACGGCACCGCCTTCCAGAGCATCTACAGCCTAGACAAGCTCTACCCCGAGTCCAAGGGCCCGGACACCGCCTGGAGGGTCCCGGTGAGCCGGGAAGGGCAGGACGGAAGGGGCGGTTCCTCCCGCTGCTGGGTGGGGTCAGGAAGTCGGGGCCCCGTTGGCCTGGCGTGGAGCGTGACAGTCGCCGCGGGACGGGGCTGGTTGTCCGAGCAACCCTGGGCTTGGCCTGCAGGAGGGTCGTGGCGCCGGGTGTGGCTCGGAATGAGCGAGAGCCGAGAAGAGCGTTCGTTTTCCAGCTCTCAGGCCCAAATTCTTGTCCCGAGGGAAAATATGGTCATTCTGGCCTTTCAAGGTGGACAACAAAGGCCAGAGGCTGCCAAGTTGTTTGCCACCTTTTGGAACCTTTTGGAACGTTACGCTGTCCTTGCCTCTAGTAACCCCAGCACGCCTGAGAAAACAGGGCTTCTCGTTCGTTCCATCAGGATGAATTTATTTAGCCTGCTTTGTGCAGGCACTCTATCAGGCCAAAACAGCGAGCCATGAAGATAGTGGGGAGGTGAGCATCCCAGGCAGAGGGAACAGCAACAACGTTAGGCAGTAGCGTGTTTTACTGGCGTGGCGGAGCAGGGGAGTCAGAAGAGGTGAAACTAAAGAAAGACATAGATGGGGAAAGCCCCATCGGTGATGCTTACTGACTCTAGCCTTTCCTCGGAACACGATGGAGACCGATTGGAGGGTTCAAGGCAGAAGAATGGGATGATCCTACTTAGTTTTATATGGTTCACTCTTATAGAGCCTTATGGAGAACAGACTGCAGGATGGAAACAAATTAGACAGCAATAATACAGACAAGAGCTGCTAAGCAGGGTGGAAGTGAAGGAGTCATGAGAATTGGTCAGATCCTAGACATATTTTGAAGGGAAAGCTTACAGGATTTGGCTAATGGATTGGATATGAGAAACGAGAGGAATTAAAATCCAGGGCCTTGAGCAATGGAAAGATTGAGTTGTCATTAATTGAGATGAGGCAGTGTGTATCACAGGATCCCCAAATCTGAGAGGGCACTTGCATAGTGTTTGCCTGTTCCAAAAAACTCACCCGGGGGGCCGGCCCGGTGGCGCACTGCTCCAGTGCGCCGCTTGGGAGTGCGGCGGCACTCCCGCCGGGGGTTCGGATCCCACATACAGACCGGTTCCCGCTCACTGGCTGAGCGAGGGGTGGGCGCAGCACTGAGGGTTGCGATCCCGTTGCCGGTCCCGGTCCGGTACGGGCGCGACACTGAGGGTTGCGGTCCGTTGCCGGACACGAAAAAAGACAAAAAGGAAAAAAAAAACTCACCCAGTATTTCAATAGGTACAGACATCAGTTTATTAGACTTATGGGAGTCACTGACGGCAGCCGACCAGCTAGATATCCATGCTGCCCTGGGGTACATACAACAGTTATATAGTGAACAGATCAAAGTAGGGGTGTAAATCATCTTCTTGTTTACACATAGACCATAGACCCTCACTCAGTTCACATAACTCAAAGTGCATGAAAGATCTGGCTGAGCACATAGGTTAATCTACTCACTACTCTCCTGGTGCCAGCGTGTTTTAGCACCAGCATGCTAATTTACTTAGGGTCTCTGCTTTCTCCAGTCTTCCGTTTGTCTTAAAGGGACATGTCTTTCCTTGGGTAACAACCTTGGCCAGGGGTAGTTTCCCAGGAGGAGAGGGGGAACTGTGGTATGCACAGGGAGGGAGAATAGGGCTCAGTCCAGCATTTACCCTACACAGTGGCAATAACGTTCATTTGTTTGTCTATTCATTCATTCATTCATTTCACAAAAAGTTTATTGTGTACCTACTGTTTCAAGCATAGCAGATATAGTCATGATAAACAAAACAGATGGGATCCCTGCTTCATGGAGCTTACATTCTAGTGGAAGGAGCAGACAATAAACAAATGGGGAAAACTTCAGGTAATGAGAAGTAGTGTAATGAATAGACCAGGGTGCTGTGAGAGAGAATGCCAGGGGCTACTCAGATTGTTAGTAAGGAAAGTCCTCTGAAAGGAGGTTTGAGGCATCCATTAGGCACCTGAGAGAATACATCAAATAGCAGCTGGGTATATGGGTCTGGAGTTGAGGAAAAGAGGTTTGAGTTTGAGCCAGAACATTGGGAGTCATCAACAGAAATGACATTTTCAGCAGCATGGATGGATGAAGTGTTCTAGGGAAAGAGGAGAGAGAGAGAAGAAAGGATTTCAGGGTCACGACAGTGTGTAAAGGTTGCAAAGAGCTGGCAAAGGACAGTGAGAATGGGACATAAGGGAGGAAGAGACCTGCAGAGGACAGTTCAGAGGAAGGGGAAGGACAGGCTTCAGGAAGCAGGTGAGGTCCACGGTCTTCAGTGCTGCAGAGAGGTGGAGTAGGATGAGGATTTCACCCCCAAACACTTTTTTTTTTTTTTTCTTTGTGTCCGGCAACGGATCGCAACCCTCGGTGCTGCGCCCGCACCTCGCTCAGCCAGTGAGCGGGAACCGGTCTGTATGTGGGATCCAAACCCTTGGCGGGAGCGCCGCCACGCTCCCAAGGGCGCACTGTAGCAGTGCGCCACCGGGCCGGCCCCACCCCCGAACACTTATAAGATAAAAAGGATGAAGAGATGCAGAGGGGGTAAAGATGAGGGTGCTTTGAGCTTCAAAGGCCAGAAAAGCCTCAGAAGGGGTGTTTGTGCTGGGCCTTGCAGACAGGAGGATTTAAGGCTGAAGGGCATTGCTGTGGGAGGAACAGAACTGGGAGAGACCCATAGGTGAGAAGTCCTGGGGGGAGGAGTTCAGTTTAACACGAACCCTCAGGGCAGATGTGCCTCACGGTTCAATGCAGACCACCTCACAGTGCGAGCCTCCTTTGGTCCCAGAAGGAACAGGGTGGCCCACCAGGCTTGTTGCTCCGGATTGGCAGAACGTGTTGCTTTGGAGTCTCCCTGGTGCATGTGTACTGTGACATCCCTGCCCCACTCCTGGGAGTCAGGACACTAGCTAAGGCCAGGCCGGGGAAGGTTGAGATGTCAGTTCCATTTTCCTAGAAGAGTGTTTCTGAGGTGGTACTTCCAGCGTTGGGGATGCTTTTTCCATCATCCTGATATGATGATTTTGCTGGGGACCTGAAAATAGTAATGTATTACGTTTGTGTTGTGGCTTTTTACATCATTTCTCTTGTTGTCCTGGGGTAGTTAGGAGTCATCCAGCAGGTAATACTTACTAACATTGTGTACATTACATTACAGGATGATGCAAAGCAAGCCAACAATGACATCCCTCTAGGTAAGTAATTTTGTTTTATTAAAATCAGTCAGGGGCTGGCCAGTTAACTCACTTACTTGGTTAGAGCCTGGTGTTATAACACCAAGGTGAAGAGTTCAGATCCCCATACCAGGTGTTCCTTCCAGATCTCTCCATCTCAATTGAAGTACAGAAACTGTCTCTGGGTGTGCAAAAGTGGAATCTTTGCAGAATTGTTTAGAATCACTAATAAACGATGGTGTAGCCACTTGTGGAGTACTGTGCAATATGCCACATGAACAGACAGCTCTTGATGTGCTTCTGACACGGAACAGTGTTTATAATAGCTGGACTGATTGTTCTGGGAAGAAAGGAAGGTGCAGGAGAGTATATAAGCTACAATTTGTGGGGGTCTTTTGGTAGCTGGGCAGTAAGGGACCCAAACCCTTGATAATATATTTATAATATTTATATATATGAAACACATACTTCTGTATATCTGTATCTACATATACATATATTTCTGTATATCCGTATCCTATATCTGAAAGGATGTAGAAAAACCTGGGTACAGTGACTGCCTTGGGGAATAGAGGGAAAAGATGAACTTGGTGACAGGGGCTCAAGAGTGGGAGGCTTCTCCATGTAAACCATTTGTGTAACTGTAGAATTCTATACCTGTCAAGCATAGACAAGGCCTAACAGGTGTGGTCTGTAAAGAAACAAGTAGCCCTTTTTGGATTCAGAGAGTTTATAACTTCCATAGATAGTGAAAGGAAGAGTAGCCAAAGGTGCTTTGCTCCCTGTGGCCCTTGCTCAGGGTGACACTGAAACAGAGGCCAGTTGACTACAACACAAGAACAGGACACCCTTTGGCTGAGGAGCTGATGCCAGGCTGCAGTGAGGCGGTTTCATAGCTTGCAGCTGTGCCTTAAGAGGCGTGCATTTGCAGGGGAGATAGGCAGGTGCTGGGCATGGCCTGGTAGCAGCTCCCCCCAGCCTCCCATGCTCTCATATTCTGGCAGAATCACAAAGTGGTCTGTTCCTGTGAAGACTTAGGCTCAGCTTGCCCACATGGCCTGCGTGGTTACATGCAGGGTTGCCAGGACACCATGGTAGAACTGTTGCCCTACAGTACCATGCGTGTTTATTACCTATTCAGAAAAAGAATGTAATTTGATTTTTCAAAAAGAAGAAAGCCTCTCAGAAGCAGTCCTGAGATGCGGCACCACTGCCTGCTCTCTGCCACCATGGTGCCACCATTGCCAACCAGACTTCTTGCAGTTCACCATCAAGTCTTCAGAAATTTTCTCACTACCATGCCTCCTCTACTTTCCTCAGACATTACAAGGCTGCTTTTTATTAATTCTAAGAATGGAAGGAAGAAACTTCATTTTGCAGATTAAAAACAAAACGGGTTGGCCAGTTAGCTCAGTTGGTTAGAGTATGGTACTGATAACACCAAGGTCCGGGGTTCAGTACTAGACTGGACTGGCTGGCCGCCAAAAATAAAAATAAAAACAAAATAAGAATAAACAAAACTAGGGGCCGGCCCGTGGCTCACTTGGGAGAGTGTGGTGCTGATAACACCAAGGCCACGGGTTCGGATCCCTATATAGAGATGGCCGGTTGGCTCACTTGGGAGAGCGTGGTGCTGACACCACCAATTTAAGGGTTGGGATCCCCTTACTGGT